CGAGTTATAAAATAGTGTACCTCGAGCGACCGTAACGAGTATCTTCGTGTATGACAAAAGTTTTTGAGTGTTGTTTGAGTTTATTAAAAAAATATATATATATTATATATAGATAAAGTAGTTTCTTTCGAAGAAATATCGTTAGAAACGGTAAGGCGATTTGATGCGATGCTTCGCCTACAGTTTCTACTTAGAATTTATAGAACAGTAGATAGAAAGTTAGACATGTAGATAGAATGAGAGTGATTATCTTTTTTGTGTGTCGTGTGTACGTCTGTCAATTCAATTATTTCTTCCGGTACTTCCCTGTACAATTGTACAATACAAGCTCCCGCTATATATTCGCGACTAGTATCCGAATTAGAACCGGTCATAAAATTTACCACTCCAACATCGTTATTTCTTGTCGTTGATTTGACCGCTAGCATTAAAAACGCTAATTAGAGTTAGCAGCGTGATACACTAATGAGTACGTAGTTTAGAAACTTCGATCTGTCACGATGATATCTATATATGTTTATATATCTAGTTACTCTATATATATATATATATATATAACTACAATTTTTTATTGCCGGCATATAGCCATTAATACATGTGTGTAGTTTAGGATATGCTATCGATTCTGCCGTCCCGAAAATATTATTAATATCTATTAATTTATTTTCACATTATTTAACAATTCCGTCGTTGCCAAGCATGGATGCGCGAATTAACGACTCACGATGACAATAATTAACTGTGATGGCGCTTATATTAACAACATGATTTGTTCAATGTGTTGCTTTGTCAAAAGTGTCTATGCACTTCGCTCTTTAATTATAGGGAAAATAGCGGCTTTTCGAGAGAGGCCTCATGAGAGAGGCCAAGATCTATCGGCTTCAACATATGTTATGATGTAAATCGACACTATTATGCACAAGGAAATCATTTATGAGATTCTTCTTACACAGCATTCTTCTCTATACTAACGTTTTCGATATTGAATCGGAATACGAATAAAATGCTTTCATCATAATTTATTGAAAGACACTAACGTTGCTTGCAATGTACACTTTTGCATTCCACTTATCCTATTATATCAACTGTTATGATATGAATCGACATTATAAAATAATGTCAAATATCTAGATATATCCACTTAATTACGTTTAGTTTTTCTATACACATATATCATCTATGCATTTGCGATAAAGAATAGACTTTACAAATCTAATGAATTGAATAGCATGTAATTAATTATGGTTGATATTTCTCCATCCTCTTTTCTTGATTAGATAAAAATCATTAAAGTGGCGCAATAAATAATACATATTTTTGTTGTCATATTTTGGAGTAAATTGAATTTGAGCAAAAATTATCGAAAATAGAACTCTTCTAATAATGAAACTTTTATAGCAATATGAGCTATTTACAAAACGATCAATATTATTTTCTCAAGTGTACGGATATATGAAGTTTACAGAATGTAAAGAATATATAATTGTGAAAGTCGTTCAAATTATAAAAAGACGATATTAAAACATAAATTATCTCGAGAAAGATCCAGATTTCGATTTCGATCTATAGAACCGATTTTCGGATAGAATTATCGTGTGATAGACGTATTGGCATATCGAATTTATATGCCGAATAGTTCTTCTTGGTAATCTTTGATTCATCCCTCCGCTTAACCAATTCTAAGTTGAATGAGTGATTCTATGCCAAAATTTGGGGCTCAAAGCTCAACTTATTCGAAGTCTCTTGGGTAGATTTCACGGTGCGAGACCCTTATCTAAAGTCTCGATCGCGTTTACGTCAGCTGGAGATACACTCGAAATAGATGAACTCTTGGCCTAGATCCCTACGCGTCGGTCGTTTCGATGAGCGACCAAACCTGGGCAATAAGGATTTCCACGGACAGACACTTTATACGTGTGTGTATGTGTGCGTGTGTATGTGTATACGAAGAGTATGTATGTATATAAAATACTTCAGAAGTTGCACGCTTTTATTACAGTTAGAAAATTTTTAAAGAATTTGGAACTTTATCTATTTTATGACAGATTTTTCTTTTATAACATTATATGTCACGATAACACAACTTAATATCTTGTTAAATAAATTTTGTTATAAATTTTCAAAAGCACTTAAAAATTTTATTTACAAAATAAAATTTTATCTGTGTTGTAGTTTATATTTTTAATATATTAAATTATTTATAATTCACATACAAGCAGATAATATTTCGATATTAAAACGACGTTAGTACTTTTCTAATTTATATTATAATGTTAAATCTTTTTGTAATATTTTTTTTTATTCGGTTAATACATCATATCTGTAATTCAGAAAACACGATCCCTCGGAAGCACCCTGTATATACATACCTGAACTAGCTCTGTACATATGGGAATATCTGTGTGCTTGTACGTATGTGTGTGTATCGCTATTTTTGGCCGGATCGAGATACGACCCCAAGAGCTATCGGTGCAGCCGTCGGTTGTCGCGAAATCCGGAAGCCGCACCCGTTTCGACGGCTGGACGTGGACGTGCGGCCCCTTTCTTTTTATGAAACTTCCGATAAACGCCCGCTGGCAAGGATTTCCGTTTCATTCGTCAACCTGTCCAATCCGAGGCCATGTGCGACACATTCTCTTTTTCTTTCTCTTATGTAGAAGAATATTATTATTATATTTTTTTCGTTTTCGTCATATATTATTTGTTTTTAATTTTAGAAAATATGAATCGCGATGTGTATGTGTAATTACGAAAGGAAATATATTTTAATATACTCAGAAAATAATGATTAAAAAATAATGATTAGAATTTTTCTTGAGAATATATTTCAATTACGTATATAATTTTCGTCATTCTAATTCAATATTTACTAAGTTGCAATCCGATGTCTTTATGAAAAATACAATTCTTTCATTACTATTTAATTTCTTTTATTACTATTTAATAAAAGCGTCTATATGTATATAATATATTTAGTTTTTTTTCTTTATTGCAATTCTCATTAGACACGAATCATTCATTTATTTGTCGAATATTTGAAAACAAAGAATATTTGAATGCAATGTCGTACAATGTAAATCGTCAAGTTACGGCGGACAGGTCTATAGAGTGTTTCCCCTTTAACTATAGCAGTTCGGAACTTCCGGTCAGAACACGTCGATATAGACAAGCCACACCATTAAGCGCCGTGATACCCCATACAAATCACGTCGATCCACGATTTATGGTCCATTCACCATCTCTCGCAATCGCGTTATCAGTGCCGATGGTTGCACGGCCAAAACGAGGCTTCTCCATGAAAACACGTTGTTGCGACAGTATAGAAGCGACAGTATAGACATTCCGTTCCCTCATATTAACGATATATCAAAACCGCGTTTCGATCTTCAACAATATTGCCGATTACATTCTCAAATCATTTACGTATATTTTGTAAATATAATCCCCACAATCTGTATATAATTACAAAGCAATTTATAAACTAATTATTCTTATCCTAAAAATTTTTTATATTGCTCTTTGCGTAAAGATAAAATTCTTTTCTTTTAATTTCTATATGACTAGAAGCGTCAAGTTTGATTATAATGATTATAATATCGAGAAAAGGAAATGCATTCTTTGCATTAATTTTTTAATCTAAAAATTATTTTAACAATTTATAATAAATATGTATAATTTTTTTTTTTTCAATAAAAGCTGACTAGCAACTCTCTCTCTTTTTAGATCTCTGACTTGATGCTTCTAGATATTTAAATATTTCAAATTGCTTAAAAATAACTGCATCCGCGATTTAATTCCTTGTATACATAATTTAACTAGACTAGAATATCCAATATATCCAAGAAGCATTAGACAAAAATTTTGAGAACTTAATAATATCAAATTTAAACAAAAATTTTTACGGTGTACAGTATATTTATAAATATATTCGTGAAGTTTCTCTCAAAAATGGGAATTTTGTAATTGCATTTTACAAATATCTTCTTTAATCACGGTAATTCTTATTTTGGATTTAACATTTATAATTCATGTAAAATTCGCGACTTCTGGGTTATCTTATATCTCACTGCTAGGAAAACAGAAACGCGCACTTTATTATGCTGAGAAATAATCTTTAACATTTCACGCTATGATCGCTCATAGATATGAAAACATATAAGCTTTTATTCCGCTTTTATTGCTAGTTATTTCCATTGCATCTCATTTGCATTCCAGTTTTTCCATGATCCTCTGCGCGTACAGCATATACTATGAAATATATAATATTTAGCAAATTGAGAGATTATTTTCTCTCTTATTGAGTGATTTTCGCGTTGATATTAAATACTTTATTTAATCCTTTAGTATGATTTTCCATGTTGATTTATCTCAAAATGTTTACGTAATGCGTGATGATTATATTTAGTTGCAATATTATAATCTAATTAAACCCATTAACAATGCAACAAAAAAGAGCAATCTAGTAATATGCAAGCAACAATAACAATTTGTTCGCGAATAAGATGCAGATAATCGTATTGAAAAACAAATATACAATTTAGTTAATTATTTTAATAAATGTTAATAGAAATGTATATAGAATAAATTAATAAAAAAATTATTATTGAAATAAGAAATAAAATATATATAATATAGTTAAGACATAAAATGATATGACGTTAGAGAATAGAAAATAATACATGAAAAATTTTTGAAATTATATATTCAAATAATTTATGTGCGACATTAAATTTGAAATATAAATATAAAATACGATAAATATGTATAATTTTTTTTCACGATGTAGCATTTATACAGAACTATTCGCGTTGAAAGTAAACTATGAAATATCTCTACATATTTTGAAATGTGTATTAATTCACGCAGTACGTTAACATAAATCCACGTCTCTTTTTTTTTTTTTTGGTCCCGGTAACAATTCGCATTACAGATCATACTCCCCGTCCCCATTTTTGTTTCTCATCATTCTTAGCTTTCTTGTTGTTCTTTATTAATGTCAGGAATGCCGGCGGTGTACTACCACGGAACAGGAAGTGAGAATGCAGGCCGCGCGTATACGGAGGCGCCGATGCAACACGTCCAACGCAATGCACTCCGGAAGAAATGTATGAAGTCGACATTCACTTTGCTCGAAACACACACCGAAATACCTCTTTCTTCGTCTGTCTATCTTTCACACCCGCACGCGCGCGTGCATACACACACACACACACACACACACACACACTCGTGTACTTTTTTCGCCATCATCGATCTTTCTCTCTTTCTCTTTCTTTCTCTATCTAAAACAGAAATCCCATCTTTGCGAGCTTTCGAAGTATAACCATTCTTTGAGAATTCTTCTCAAATCGTCCCGCCTCGTTTATCGCGTTTCGTACGTTTCTGCCTTCGTCTGTTGCGTATGGAAAATGCATATTAATACCAAAGTGCATTTCGATGCATCGAGTGCTACTCCAGGGAATCCCCGCACCGTAGTTTCGACGGCGATCGATACTCGTAGGTTCCATTATTGCCACAGCCAGTCGATGCATCCGAATCGAAACTGTAGTCGTGGTAGTAAACGCCAACGCGGTTTTCGAGCATCCTCGCTCGATGGAGAAAGCTGATACCGTCGATACGAAGCGAAAGCTTTCTAAGTGCCTAGAGAAAACACCTGTCACACTTTTCGGCGACGTATGGCGCTCTTCCGTTATTTTCGATGTGTATTTCCTTTCAACGTGTTTCACAACACGCGCGAACTCATCCATCGTATGTAATTTTCCGCGGTAGAAGAAGAACTAGAATATATACGAGCGTTTAAGTTATTTTTCACCCTTGAGTGTCGAAGACGAGAGGCAGAAGGCACGCATACTCGACATCCTCGGACGAAACTCGAAAAAACAAGAGAGACGATTGACAAAGCAACACATTTGGAAAAAAAAAATCACTGTTCTGCGTCTGTTTCTTCCCTTTCAGTCATCCATGCGGCGTACCATCACATTTCTTTGTTCTCTCGTTCTATTCTTTTAATTATATTCATATTTAAAAAAAAGATATAATTAGTTTCCAGACTATATTGTCGAGTGATAGTCGACGGAAATGATTAGCGAAAGCACATACAAAGTGCATTGCAAGAGTGGCGCAGTTGTGACTGAAGTTTTATGTTTCAGTGGATCTAACCAATGGACAGCTCACCCCAAACAACAACACGCCCTTACTTACACAAGCACTTTCTGGTACGTCTTAAAAATCTTTCTTCTCCTTGGCTACCGCTTTTTCTACTCGCTTCGTCGCGCTGCGATCGATTCACTCGGAAATGCAAACAATTTCGGCTATGATAGCTTTTTCGTTAACTAGTCACGCGAGATCGCGAGTAATAAAGATCGTGCGCTATCCGTTTGGAAATAATACTCGCGATCGCTTGAACGAAATATTGCGATAAAATGTTGAACATAGTATTATGTTCGAATCAGTCATCGCTTTTGCCATCTCATTTTAATATCGTTTAGTATTTTACGGTGGTATTTTTGCAAATTGGATTCTGCTTGCAAGATGGACAATTTTGCGAAAGATTATTCTTTTATGATGTTTCCAATTTTGCTGTTTAATAGGTTGCTTAGTTTTCATGAATCAATCTCAATTTACTGAAACAATAGTCGGACAACAGTAAGATTTTGTCTCAGTCAGTTAATATCCATCATTTCAGAAGACGATTCCAATTCGTATAAAGGCGAGCAACGGAAAATATATATGTGTTGTTTATAAGCATGATTACTCTGCATGACATTGTTTTATGTGTGATCATTTTTAAGAAAATTGCATCTAACCTACAGGATATCCGGTAATAATCACATCGCCTCTTGTATTCAAGTAGAACGATTTAAATCGAGGAGGAAAGTCCAATTATTAATGAGATATTAATTAAAAAAGATCTCGCGCGGATTGACCGATTTTTTAAAATTAATTTTTCATTAATAATTGCGAATATCTCAAAACGGATAGGACATTTAATCATTTCAACCTCGTTTTATCTGCGGTTATTACTGGATATCCCGTAAAATAAATCTGTACTAAATCCACAAAAAATCTGTCGCGGGAAATCAATGATACTCATTATATCCGCGATATGTTATCTATACGAGACACAAACCAAGTAAATGTGACTGTATTCTGTTTAATTCTACCACACGTAACTTTTCAATTTAGCTTCCATTTCAAAACATTTTGATTCCACGATAATCTTTATTCTCGCTATAAAGTAATATTCCTTCGCGACAAAGAAACATCGTTCGATCCCCCTAACTCATTACTTTGCATCCCTTAATTTTCGCGCGGTCGCTTCCTGTCGAAGACATCGAGAGACGCGCGAGAGAGAGAGAAGCTCTCGTCCCCCAAGAAAAGTGTCGCACATGCGAGGGCGCCGAGATGCCGGCAGCGAAATACGCCTTCGTACTTTTATTTCCCTTTTTTTTTCTTCCCCTCATTTTCCCCATCTCCAGAATATGCCCCCGATCTGCCCGCCGTCGCGTCGTCGTGCCGTCCGCAATCTCCTCTCAAATAAATCAAACTTTTGAATCGCGCTCGTCCCTCTTCCCGGTCTTCTCCCACGCGCGCCGGCACAAAACTTTGTAACCGGCCGCCATTGTCAAGAGTTTAAAAGCTGAATGGGTTTTTAGATTGTACACCGGGGCGCTTTCGGTTTCCCGTCGCCCCAGCAGACTCTCTTTTCCTCCTCGCCCCGGCGTCGAGAGAGTTTCAAATTCTTCGCGTACCGCCCAGATCCCATCCCTACGCTCCACTTCTCTCTTTCTTCTTCCTCGTCCTTCTCCATTTTTGTTCTGCTCTTTTATCTCTTCTCTTTCTCTCTCTCTTTGCTTTCGTGGCCGCCGTTAATCCAAAAGTACATACCGTATGACATTTACACGAGCTTTCGTGCGAACGCGATATACGGGATCGTTCAAGTCAGATGCATTAATCTCCGCCGCTTCTTATTGGCTATCTGTCAAAGTTTTTACGTGTGCTAAAGTTCCGGAATGCGGACGCGACGCGCAGAGATACTGTCCCATATATGTGCAATACAGCTTCGAGCGTAACAGAAAGTATAGTTTCGCTATGATTTTCCCTTCTTGTTACTTTTATTCGAGAAATGTACGAAGGAGGACAGTCGCGTTGGCAGGGTTTAAAAAGAGATGTGTTGGAAAATAGCTTTTGTAAACAGCAATTGTATTAGTGTTTCCGTGTTATTGTGCATTACGTTTATACTAAATATCACGTGTTAGCAATAGTATTTGCAGTAAATGTTCGTAAGATTAACACACACATTTTCTTTAACATTGTGTTTACTGAAAGCAGCGTAATATTTAATTGCTTAACGGAGAAAAAGCATGGTAAAAGAGAGATTCAAAGTATCAAAAAAAAAAAAAAAAATTACTCGATAGAAAGCATTACTCGATATTTATTTGAAGATAAAGAGTAGCTTTTGAGTTAAGATTATCATTTTTGATAATTAGTGTTCTCCTTAATAACTGAATTCGGTGCAAGAGAAAAGATAAGATTATTTTCTTTACGAGAGATGGAAAACTGATTATAAAATTTCTCACTTGCGTTACAATCGACACGAAGAGTAAAATAACTTATTAATTAAATTTGTAATCTTCAGTTTTCTCAGTAAATTTATTCAGTATCAATATCATAAGAGAAATAAAGAAAGAGAGAGGAAAGAAGAGGGAGAAAGGTAGAGAAAACAATATTCTTTCTGGAAATATTGGCACAAACTCTTGATTTTGGACTTATTTTCTATTGCACCAGATTCTGTGATTGTCCGCATCAGCATAATTTTCCCTCGCTTCCTTCGTTTATATTCTCACGCGGAGTCTTTTACTTCGAGAGCTGAATGTGAAATTGGGTAAGTTTAGTTTTTGTCGCTTGGCTTTCTTAACTGAACCAACCATGTCGATCTTTGTTCCGCTTTAACTTCTTAATAGCACGAAGGAAAAAAAAAATTAGCGGATCTCGTGATCGAGGACCAAACGCTAGATCAGTAACCGTAGTCGAACTCGCCTGTTGTATCTCGTAAACTTTTCAAATCGATCGCCATCATTGCCTCGTGCGATTGCGTTGCTTGTCCCAGCGACGTGTTGTACAATATCATACATACATACATACATATATATAAATATATATGTGCAAGGCGCTTTTTTTTTATTATCTCTATGGTCGTATGTAAAGGCTGCCTTGCAATGCGCTTCATGAGTGTCTTTTTTTTACTCCTTCCTTATTTTTTTTACTTCGATAAAATGCATTGCGAGAAAATTTGTTAAATGGACTCTCCTTTTCCTTGTATTCAATGTGTGTGTATCGTGATGTAATCGCAATTTATGCGATCGTTAAACACGGGAAACACGTGCACAGTCCTCGAAGTAAAATGTAGACCAGAGATATTCGTCGTTCACTTATGCACGAATGTGCGTGAGCTCGTTACAACAGTCACACTACATATAGTATATGAGTTAAAGAATCTTATCTCTAATGAGATTTAGCTAAAGCATATCGTTATACAACTGAAATGAGTTTGATATTAGTAAGCGGAAAGAGGCGAAAAAGCTAAAAACTAGGGGCAAACGCCAACGGAACAACGTGCTTCAAGGTACTTGCATGGAAGATTCCTAAAAAGGATAAGGCATGCAAAACGCTCATATCGCTATCACGAGCAAAATGAAATAATCAGAATATTCATCTTCAATAATGGTCATCAGATGTTTAATTGTCGTGAAATATCATGCGCTATATAATTACGATTGAGAGTTAAACGCGATTTAATATCATTTATAACGCTTATATGTATAAAAAAAATGTCTCTTGAATCTTCCTAAATCCTCAATTACTATAATGCATTCGAAGCTCCAACGCGCATTTGCTTTGTAATAAAAAAAATATATGCAACTCTTTAATGATCAGCTTTTCCATTTATCATCCGACACATACCCATTAATATAAAATAAAGCCATTATCATTAGTTGAATCGATTATAGACTATATATGCGTACATATATTTCTATTACCAACATTCTGCTACAGTAATTGAGGATTTGATGAAATTGTCAATTTGATCGAAAGCAAATCTATCTGCGCATTCCGCGAATAGACGAGGACGAGCCTCGTCGAGGCTCGTCCTCGTCGCAACGACGACGTCCGCGTCTGCGATCGGGTTAAGAGGGTGAACATTGACGCGGGTTCGTTGCAGTGATGAACAACTACCAGGCGGCCGCAGCGCAGGCCGGATTCCCGCCGGCGTCGCCGCACGCGGCCGGCGGACACGGTGGCCCGCAGGGCCGGTCTTTCCCGGCGGCCAATTCGCCGGGCCCGATTGACATGTACAGCTCGAGCGCCGCCGCCGCAGCAGCAGCCGCAGCCGCGGATTCCGCAGTCGCAAGCTACGTCCAGGCCGCAGCTAGCCCGCAGCCCCCCACGACCGCGTTCCCCGCGATCGCCGTATCCCGTGCCCCGCTCAACTACAGTCCCGTAAGTCCACTTAATGCTCCCCCTTTTTCTTCACCGGATCGGGTCCTTCCCGAGAGAAATGGAACGAAAGGATGAAGAGAGCGCGATATATTTGACGTTTCGAATCTCTTGCGACCAGTATTCTAATTTATCTAATCTTGTCGTAAGCTGCAAAATTTTCTTTATACTTTGTATTAAAAATCCAACTGGTCGCCTTCCGTCTCGTAAATATAATTTTGTACTACTTAAATGGAATTTTGTAGCTATCGCGGAGATACGACAGAAGATCGGAAGAGATCGGAGAAAGTAGCGACCGGTTTGGACTAGGAAAATAATCACAAAAAGGAAATTAATCGAAGAAAGCTTTTATATATAATATGCGTTTTAATATAAATACGAAAGTTCTCTTAAAGTATTTTTGCTGAATCTCCAATTTTTCTTCTATAAATTTCTCTTTATAACTGATAGGACAAATTATCTAAATAAAATCGATGATATTCAAAAATATTTGCATTTTATGTTTAAAGATTCGTATTGCATGCAAGAATTTGAGTAATGCATTTTTATGCTAACAAAATATTGCAAAATAAGAGAATTGTTTGACTATCGATTAAGCTCTTTATCGTTTCGTTCCGTACTGCAATTTCACCAGCTTTATGCATCTCATGAATCTGATAAGCAAATACGAGTATATAATATTTCTTGCAAAAAGTAAATCATGTTTAATGCGATCGGTTTATCGCTCTCAATTTTATCAAAAAATTGCTTTGCAAAAATGTATATATATTATTATGCTTTATACATCCTATATATTTTGATTCTACATTTTATAAGTACGTCTCTGGTCTGTATAGGTCTTTAATCAGGTATAGTATGACCTAATATAATTATTATCTTGACTTGATCGCGAAATTATACCTAATATCTTATTTATAAATTTTTCTAATCTATTATTCTATCTACAATTTTAATATATTTATAATAATATTTCCCGAAACTTTCCATGTAACATCATATCCTCCGTATATATTTCGTCACTTATTATTATCTTTATATTATGTGCAATATTTTCGAGAAATGTAACACAAAAAAGGCTACAACCTCAAAGGCCAAGTACCGCAATTGCACGCTGCAATTTTAAATATGCAGGCAAACGTAAGGGTTTATCTTTGCGCTCGTCTTTGTATAATAATCATTATTTTTATGGAAAGGTTGATGAGACCGATATCTTGTACTGTTTCAGGGTCCTCTAATACCAGCGGCGTTCACTAATGGCTACCATTGAGCCTTGTTAAGACCTAATAACAGGTATGTATGCCATCAACAATATTTCGTCGAGTAGATAATATGTGTAAATTTTACGTTGAAGTAAAATTATTAGATATTCGCCAAGATCAACATATGGAATAGTTAAGTCAGTTTCTTTTTTCAATTTCATTATTTTTGGTATAGCATTATCTACGAAAATTTACGACAAACGCTCTGCGTGACGGTAATAGAATATTAATAACTGCAAATAATAAAAGAAATTTTATTTCTTTTAAGATCCAAAAAAGATATGAATCTTTCACTTTCATACGTTCGAAAGTTAACTGCACAATCTCAACGAATTTGAAAAAAAGAATTTTGCGTTCAGACGCGTACATATTTTAATTTTTGTTAGCTAGATGAATCAATTCCAAATAAAGCAAAAGGAGTGTGTTTGCAAGACAAACATCTAACTTGTTGAACTCTTAATATCTTTTCCACTAGAATGGACGAGACGGCAGAACGCAGCACGGTCGCCTGATTTAATAAGCAACATGGACGACTCGAGGCAGCTAAATATAATAGATGATCTCTGGACGAAAAAGAAAAAATATACACGTCTACTCCAAATGACGATCGATGATTGCAATACATTCAAATATGCATAATGTTGAGCAGAAGGAAACGTTCAAGTAGGATTTAATCGATACTTCAAAGTCCAGATTGTGTATAAACAGCCGGACAAAATATTACGCGAATATATATAACAACGCATTAAAAAAGAATTTAGAGCATTAGTTCAGTTGGATGCAACTGTAGATAGAGGAGAGAAAATTATTAAAGTACTGCTAAGGCAAAGGAAGAATGCTGAAGCAACGAGGAAGACGTCCAGAGAAGATCGTGGAAAAAAGATGAGAAGAGCGACAGGAAGATCGACCGTCGGACGGAAACAGGAGGAAGAAACAACGCGCGCTGCAATATAAGGTAACTATGGCCGAAACTGCGTATTGACGCCAGCCCGTTCTCCGACACATTAATAAAAGAAATAATAAATATAATATATTATAATATATATATACACACACTTATATATATATATATATTATATATATATATATAATAAATTAAATTAATATTATTAATTGCTAAATATTTAAACATTTAAGTCTAGAATATAAATAGTATATATATATATATAAAGATATAAATATATATATATATATATATAAATATATAAATAATTGATAATTATTAGACGATAACCTTTAGTATTTAAGGCAAATAAAGAGACGGAAAAATATATATATATCTCACGAATATATAACTATTAATTATTACATGATATTATTATGGCGATTGCAATTATTAACGAGCGCCCTGCGCATTGCGCGTGCCCGCGTAAATACATTACATAATAAATAGACACATGCGCGTTCACACCTGGGAAAGACTTTGTTTCTGGGCTTTCAAGTTTTAATCGTATGCGCGGGAAGGGTCGAAGAATTTAATAGCGGCCGAGAAAAACGATGACGCGGGAAAGAGAGAGAAAAGGAGAAGAGGGATAAAGGCTGACGAAAAAGTTAAAGTGGATAAATCAAGAGATCTTTTTGCTGCTCCTTCTCTATGTCTGCACGTGCAGATATTCAAGCTCCTTCTTCTCTCCCAACGTGCCTTTTCGCTGCTTAAATGGCGGAACGGTGCTTCTCTCCTATCCTGTCGCAGTTCTACTTTCCCGGGTGCGCAACGAAATAACAGAAAAATATAGCGGCAGGTGAGTGAGGGAGTTACATACGTAGGCGTGTTATATATTTGACGTCACGCTGTTAGCATTATTTGCGGATAGAAGGAGAGGCATGCGAGAAAGCTGCGTTGAATTTATCGGGCCGTCGAGGTAAGTCCGAAACAATGAGAAACGCAATATCGGAAGACTTCCAGAAGGAAGAAACAGTACCAGATGATATCGTTAGAATTACAGAATAGCTTTCATTTACAGAATAGCCATATTGCGTGGTTTATGTTTTCAGCAAAAGATACAAACGTGCTTAATGCACGAATATGATTTACTATAGATTCGTGATTGCGAATTCCATAGAAAAAAATATAATGGTCTACGGTAATATAAGATATTTTTCGATAATTGAAAGAGCCATCATTTCTTTATTACTATATTATTGTAGCGAACTTATACTACGACTAAATTGTTCAATACGATGGCAATATCTTTGCTTTTAAAAAAGAAAAAGAAAAAAGAAATAGAAAAAATAGGGGCGTAATACACAAGGGTGAAACTTATGGATGGCCAAAATAAAAATTTACGCTACTCTGTAATTTTAATTGACATCGAATGCTCGTACTCGCTTCAAAGTTCCGCTCGGAGCTTCCGCTTCCGGAGGCGCCGGACGATGACTGTTATGAATCTAATCGGCCACTGTATAGCTTTAAAACCGATTACGTGCAGTAACCCCCGTTATATATACACATATATTACGCGTACGCGAATTACCGTATAATTAATTTAAAATAATGCTGTATATGCATGACCCTATAGACGAGCCAACGCGATAAAATAAGAAGAAGATACGAGTTTTTTCAGCGGCAAACAACCGCAATACACTTTACACAAACACACACGTACACACGAGAGTTACGAAACACATCCCCAGCGTCTAATCGTCTAAGGCTGAGTTACACCGACAGACTGGATTAACTAATTCTGGTTAGCGTATGAGTCTAGCAATTTGTCCTTTATTAGATTATAGTCCTACTTATATATAAAACAAGACACACAGACAGAGAAAGTTTAGTTGTAACCAGCGTCGGTGTCAACCAATGTAGGTGCAAACTTAAAATTCATACAGAGGGAGATCAAACGATCGGAAGACGATCGAGCTGAAAAAAAGAAAGCTAACAAATATATACATATAGAGATATCGCGTAATCTTCGTCTGCGATGTGCAGAGCATCGATCGACGATACATCTTAAATGCTAACTTAACAGAAGAACGAGAAGATATTAAAGAAAAAAAAGAGAAACTTAAAATTATGCGAAAGAAAGATCGAGAGCGAAAGGAACAGGGAGAAAGAGCGTGCGTGAGAGTGCGAAAAAAAAACGTTACACTTTAGAATTAAAATGCGCGGTCGCTGAATAGCGTCGCAATTAGATCTAGGGACTAAACGGGCTAGCGAGGAAAGACATAAACGTGAGAGTGAATATTATATAATCTATATATCGCAAAAATAATGGCTGAACATCGGATGTTGCGTTCATTCGCGCTTCCAATAATACAATTGTGGGGGTTAAAAGGGGCCTAAAGTCCACTCGACGAAAATGAGAGGTGGGCCCTTTTTAAAAATCCGAATCTCAATTGGGCTATGCTATACAATGCAGAAACTAACGACATTTTTAATTTAATGTCGCATTCTGAGATTCGTTTTCTCGCCTTCTCAGTGAACGCTTTTTGATGATTCCTTTTTTTGTCAGAGGATATCATTCATTCTAAGTTGTATAACGTGGTCCAATTAACGAGTGAATGAGCGAAGATTGAGAGATTCCAATGAACTACTCATGATTGGTTTAGATTAAATTTCTCGTTATCTTATGATATTGCGCGGAAAGATGAGAGGAATTTTTCAATTAACATAAAAATGTACTTGACTCTTCACGAGCTTCCCAGAGAAAATGATTAATTTTAGTATTACATTTTTGAATAATCGGATAATCCTTTTTGTAAAAATTTAATGTCTGATTATTATTATGAGTTATAATTATCATCCGTAAATTAAGTTGCATCAACAATCATGCTCAATTAACTCTTGTTTTATTGGTTTGATATATCTTTCTAGAGAAAAGTCTTAACTATATTATAAACAAAATGCAAATTTCACATTAATCTTGATTATGAAATCTACATTGAAACTATTTGGGTTATTACGTGAATTTATCACGTTAAACGTCATTGCATTCTAAAAATAGATAGTAAATTATTCTTTTCGTACACCATCATCTATACAATCGTACTAAAACTTTTCAATTGTTAGAAAATTATACATAAAGAAGGCAAGCGTTAAATGTGACAAAATAATAGTGCATTTAAAATATGTGGTACATGTGTATGAAAAATCTTCACATATTGACAAAGGATTTTATGAAAGCTTCCTCCCTTCTTTCTGGCCACAAAGGCCACATCGTTCTTAATAAATTATGCGCGTAATATATATGACTGGGACATTTGTCTTTTGTTGATATCGCTAAATAAATAGTTCCTTATTGCACATTATCATTACTATAATTGAATTTGTGCAAGGAAATCGAGTCATCAATCGATTAATTATAATTATAAACGGTGAATATACACGCGATTATTACGTGCGTGCTGTTATTATTATTATTATTGCATTAAACAACAGGGTAAACAAAAAAAAAGAAAAAGAGAAATAACTTTAAATTAAGTACGTGCGTCACGTGGAACGGCAGCCATTTTTTTTTCGATGAATGTGCACGCAACAGAGGAAAGAGAGAAGAGAAAGAGAATATAATATGCGTGCAAAACGAGTCAATTCTTAACGAACGTTAGCAATACTTTTTCATGACCACAAAGAGACGTGACAGAATAGCGAAGACTAGGGCGTATTGACAAGAGAAGTCACAGTATTCTTAAGTTCCTAAATTATGTGCGCGATGTGTAAACTCGGTTTATAAGAGGAGCAATGTCGAGATTACGGGAAAAAGGGATGAAGTGGACGAACTATCGCGTGCGTCACCCATGTTTTGTATACCACCCATTCCCTTGTGAGCAAAACAAAATGTCTCGTTATGAGATTGATAAAGCGTGAAAGAAAGAGATAAACGTGATATCTTCAAATAAATATTCAAAATAAACAAATTACATAAGATATAAAAAAGTGATTCACCTTATCTGGACAATTGCCTTTTTTAATCAAAAGTATAAGTGATTTTTTGTTGGAATAGCTATTATTTAATAAAAATCGATATTGCGTATATGACAAACAAAAGTTAATATATATTTTAACTGCATTGGAAATGATGAACCAAATATCAAAATAGATTCAAAACATTTTTTTATTTACAAAAATAGAAGAGATTAAAATTTTGATTGTTGGAAAAAAAATAATTTGGCTAAATATATATGTAATTAAATATACTATAAAGTAGAGATAATTTGTGACTACACAATACTATTCTGACTTGAAAACCAATAACTATGCAAGGGTTAATATACTGTAATTGAATATAATACGCTTGTTACATAATAGATGAAAGAATAATGTGTTCACAATATCATCTTCATAAATTTTAATCGGTTTTTAAAAGTTATTACAATTAAGTTTATATATAAATAAATGGTATCAAAATTATGTTAAATTTGTGAACAATCGTTAAAAATATTTTCTGAATATTTATATAATTGACGTTAAGAATTATTAATATCTTTATTAATTTATATATTTATTTACATTAGAATCTTTTTATTTTATATATATGCACATACATACATACATATGTATATATGTATATACGTATATATGTATATATTTTTATAAAAATTTTTGCAAGCTTGCAGTCACAAAGTATCCCCGCTTTAAAATTAAAAACATGTTCGCGCGTTCGCGTTCTCATTCTCTACGTTTTATTTAGTAATTCCGTTTCGCTGCGCAATAATGCTAAATATATATTACTGGATAAAAGCTAAAGCAGGAGTTTTTAGTAGTACGTTTTATATTCATCATGCATTTTAATTTATATTTCATTTTTGTTTTATGTTTTTAATTTGATTGGCGGAGATGAATCGTAGAAATATGAAACAACCGTATCGGCCGAAGCGACATACTTTACGTATAAACAGTAACAAAATAAAAATATAATATTACACGGGTGAGCTTTGTAAGAAAGACGTAAAGATTAAATACAAGTACATTCACATACACATACATATAAACAAGGACATAACACCAGCTCAACAGATCGTAGAGCGTTAACGCGGAATTTGTCGTATATAGGCTTAAGAGAAGACGCGCGAGATGTGAAATGAGAAGATAAAAATTATTTAAA